CCGCTGCTGAGAGCGAGTGGCTTACATGCGGTGCGGGCAGCCGTGTGTCTGCATGTGGGAAGTACGCAGACATCTGCCGCCAGCGTACCGCAAGAACAGCAACAACAACAACAAGGACTACTGTTAATGCTGGACAACTAAAGGCGGTGATGGCCTGGATGGGTAGTCGTGAAGGTGCTCTAGACGAGGATAAGTGGAAAACGAAGAAGAATCTGGAGAACCAGAAAGAGCTGGAGAAGCAAAGGGAGAAAGATAAGCTGGAGAATGCTAAGGTTACAGTTTTCCCTGAAGGTCAAAAACAACAATTAGAGGAGATGAAAAGTAAGAATCTCCACGTAGATGTGACCGAAGGAGAAGATAGAGTTTCACTTAGACAACAACAAGAAGTACAACATCGTCAGCAACCAGGGGAACACATGAAGTCTGTAATGCCGAAGAAAACTGAGCTTCAACAAGACGGAGGTATACCTGAACAAGAAGAAGAAGAAGTACGAGATCATCGGCAACAACCACGTGGAGACACGAACTCGGTATCTCAGAATGGCACTCAGCTTCACCGGGAGAGAGAATTAGGCACTTCATCAGTGTCTACTGAAGTGCAAGAAGATCTACCTCATCCTGAAGCTACAAAACGCTCACTAACAGGTTCTGCGGACTCAAGCAGCTCACCAGAAGCAGCGTCAGAAGCAAGAACAACATTATCAAAGCCTACAGCCATAAGCACAGCCGGAGAGGTTAATTCCAATCACGACCAACCGCAAACTCAGTCTGAAAACACCACAGAGAACAGTAATACCAATGATGGTAATCCTTCACAGAATCATTCTCCAACAGAGACGAGTACACTTACCACCCCTAATCCCACACAGCTGTCTGCTGCAGCTCCAGGTACGACTGGCACAGAAGGATCACATGAGAATGCCAATGCTGATTCAACGGCCACCACCACTAATACTACCACAGAAGCACCAACCACCACTCCATCTCCTGTTCCTGCACCTAACGCAGAGATCAGCAGCACTCCTACAGAAGCGCCAACTACAAACAGTACCATTCCATCTCTTGTACCCAACGCAGGGATCAGCAGCATTGCTTCCACAGTACAGAACAAGGCTAATGCTGACAGCGGTGTCAATCCTGTGTGGATGCGCACTGCAGCACCGCTGCTGATTGTGGCTGTGTTGGTCTCCGTTACCATGTACTGAACGGTGGGACTCACTTGAGGACAAATAATAATAATGGTTAAACTAACATCAACATAATTGCGTACATCCACCATGGGTGAATAAATTAATAATCTGTTTACCAGCTTTCTCTTTTAATTCGAGTTTCTTTTCTTTTACTTTTACGTGTGTGTGTTCTTTTTCTACTAATTCCATTACTTGCTTTTCCTGTTGAGTGTTTGCAGAAAACTGGGCTGTTCTGCTCACTGACGGTATACATCTCTTGCTAGAACACACAGATGTGTGTGTGCAGTAATTTAATACATAAACTAGAGCCATGGGGTATTGTGTGTGTTTGGCTCTCTCTCTTATTTGGGTATTCTGTGTTTTTTCTTTTTCTATTAAGGGTACATATTATTATCATACAAGCGGACTATTCCTTTTTGTTTACTATGCTTTTGCTGCTTCTCTCTCTCTATTCCACTGTGAGTATTTGTGTCCTGCATCCACTCACTATGTGTGTCTCTTTCTTTCTTATTTTTCCTGTATTAGTGTATTGAAGTCAAGTACAATGACAAAGGCTGTAATGGTGAGGTGCTACCTGCTCTGTTTACTAACTCTTACACTCTGTTGTGCTTGTGGGTTAGTATGGGCTGATAGTCCTAAAGCTTCTGATGCCCTTATTAAACCTTCTACTATTGGTGTTCCTTCTCTTGTTCGTCGTGCTATTCCCGCTTTTCTTATCCCTTCTGACGATAAAGAGTGTAATTTGAGAAACGAAGTGGGGTTAGATGTTGATGACGATGAGGAAGGAGCTGATGAAAACGATGACGATGAGGAGGTTGATCTTGAGACTAGTGATCCTGCTAGTGGTGCTTCTTGCTCTTCCGATACTCATGGTAGAAATTGTGCCTCTGGTGGTCACGATGCTTCTCGTTCTCTCACTGAAGAAGCTGTTCATGCTGCTATTATTCCGCAAGGTGGCCAACACCAACAATCACCTCATTCTCCTCCACATCCTCTTCATGAACCTGAACGTGGTGTCCCTTGCACTCCTAATTCTTCTGCATCTTGTCCTCTGCCTAAACCGCCAGAAAAACCCGATCCATCTGTAGTGAAAGAACCTGAACCTAACGCTCCTCTTGGTTCTGTGGAGGCACATCCTCGTGAGGACAGACCCGATACTCCTGCTATTGTTGATGATGCCTCAACCAGTTCTCCAAAGGAAGAACGTCAAGGTATGAATGGTGATAAAGGTGAAGTCGATGTTGCTGCTCCTGTACCTGAAGCTGAAGGTACAGGTGGCGGCAACAACAGCAGTGCAACAGATAACCAGGGAACTGCGGGAGCACAACCTTCTTCTTCTTCTATCCATTCAGAGACAGAGAGTACCGGTGGTTCTGATATTGCTTTATCTGAAAAAGGCAGTACATCTGCAGGAAATGAGACAATAAGTAACCCAGCTGAAGAGGAATCAACCACCACCACCACCACAACAACAACACTTCCTCCTGAACTCACAAACAACAAGAAGGGTGATGCAGACAGCAGCAGCAGTATCAGCAGTTCTGTGTGGGTGCGTGTACCACTACTGATTGTGGTTACACTGGCCTGTATTCTTGTGTGCTGATTGTAGTGGTGGTAGTGGTGTGACTCAGGTCATCCTTTGTTTTCTTTTCTTTGCATACATCCCTATAGTCTAACTAATCTTCCACCTGTTGGGATCTTCTTCTTTTTTTGCTTCTTAATGTTAATGTGTGTTGTTGTGTTTTTGCTCTCTGTGTGTTTATCCTATAATTATTATTATTGCTACTCCATTGTGTGTGTGTGTGTTCTTGGAGACTCTCTGTGTGTGTGCACCTGGGCTTGTACTATGCTAATGATGATGAACTGCTTTTTACAGTGAGGGGAAAAAGAAATAATAATATCAGATGAATTTATATTTATAATTGCGTATACATACACATATAGACTTATATCCATAGTTGGTGTTCGTCGTGGTTTGTGTGTTTACTGGATACGTTGGTCTTGCTTTTAATTCACTTTTTTTTGTTTTGCTTTTTAATTATCCAAGTTGCCACTATAAAAGTTTTCTTTATTATTTATGTTGATTTGTTTGAGTTTCTTATGATTTCCGTTTGTTTTTCTTTTCTTTTTTCTTCCTCTGTTTGTGTTTGCCTATATCGTTGTTTTTTCCTCTATACGATTCTTTTTTTCCTTCGTCAAGGTTAACTATCCACAAAGAACTAAAAGAATATTTCTTTGCCATGATGCAGGTGCGACGTGTATTGTATTTTGTGGCTCTAATTATGAGTGTTGCCTCTGTTTGCGTGGCGGCTGCTGAAGCTGAAAACTCCGGGAGTTCTTCTTCTGCATCTTCTAACTCTGGTGGTGATGATTGTCTTCCTCCTCCTGAAGATGATGCTAATATTACTCGTGAAACTCCTCGTGATACTAATACTNATGGTGGTGGTGGTGGTGTGACTCAGGTCATCCTTTGTTTTCTTTTTCTTCTCTTTGCATGCATCCCTACAGTCTAACTAATCTTCCACCTGTTGGGCTTTTCTCTTTTTTTTTGTTTCTTAATGTTAATGTGTGTTTTGTTTGGTTTGTTTTTGCTCTCTATGTTTATCCTATAATAATTATTATTGCTACTCCATTGTGTGTGTGTGTGTGTATTATTGGAGACTCTCTGTGTGCACCTGGGCTTGCACTGTAATGATGATGAACTGTTTTTTGTAGTGAAAAGAAATAATAATAACAGATGAATTTATATTTATAATTGCGTTTGTATACACACATATATAGACGTATACCAATAGTTGGTGATTATTTCTGTGTTTATTGGTTAAATTGGGCTAATGGTTAATATCTATTTCTTTGCTTATGATTTTACTGGGTGGTTCAGTCTTTTTTATGATATTTGTGAGTGTGGGCTTTTTTTTTTGTTTTTACTCTTACTAAGGTTATTGCGCTGTATTGCATTCTTTAACTGGTAGGTTTTACTTTCACGATGTGAGTTTCCATAGTGGT